CATGTTATATTGCAATAGGAATGGGAAGGAAACAGCAAAAATGCTCAGATCAGATTAAAATAGAGAATGGTGCCTACTAAATGGCCACATGAAGTCACCCTGGAGATTGATGCCCTTTCCACTTCAAATGGACTTCAAGGGAATCTAGTTGAGGTCTTTTACCAGTTTTAGGAAGATGGAAACAAGAGGCAGAACTTTTATTGTTTGGTGCTGGAGAAGTTCAAACAGGTAGCACCACAGAAGGTTATGACAACTAAACCATGGGCTCTGATGTCCTTGTACAAATGACTCCACCAAGAGTTGTTTCTATTTTAGAGGAGCTTTTTGAAGGTAGTCAGAGGTGTAAGGACTTCAAAGATTAGCTGAATTCTAGTTTAGATAGTAAGTTGGTGCCAAGCATTCAGAATTCCACTTGTTATCGTATTTGATGGGGAAAATATAGGCTTGAAAATTATGTTTCTAAGTGATGTATCTTCATAGAATGAGGAAATTAGGGGAAAGTAACTTTAGAAGCAGAGATAATTATAGTTGTGGACAGTTCTCACTGTGTTATTTGAAAGAGATGCTCTTTCCAGACGTGCTGGGCTCAAGGTAAACTTCGAACAACTCAAGTAATGTTACCCAGACAGCATAAATAATCACTTTTTAATTACTACAGAAAATGTAGTAATTATAATTTTTGAACTGCAGTTAATTACTTTTTCCTATATGTAGCACATTTGTGATGATTCATAGCAAATTTTCAAACATGTAACTACACAGTATCAGTAAATCAAAAAGTAGTTAACTCCTCAAAATTCTTTGCTAAGGGTTATAAATTCATCATTACTTCAAGAATGCTGAGCATATTATAAGAGCTGTATTTATATCATTTATTTTACAAATAAAAGTAACTTTTACAGATTGGATAAAAATTTGCCAAATACTGAGTATTCACTTTTTCAGTCTTGACCTTTTATACCTCTTTCCAGTATGGATCTCCATGAAAATAATAAGCTGCATTGTTGTTCCTGTGCCTCTTGTCCCTCTCTCTTGCTTGGTCAAGTGTGTATTCATCAAAGTTCTTGTCTTGTTGATATGTGACTTCTGTAGCATTGTGGTGTCTTCTGTCAGATAATGCAACTGTCTTGAACTCCCACATATGAGAAAAAAATACAGCTATAGCTCTTTGAAGAACTTTTATAAAATGTGTTTCTAATTAGATACATATAATAGAGTGCCAAAGGGATTTGTTCATTGTCACAGACCTTCAGAGCTGAATTTCCACAACAATTTGTTGAAGGACGTAGGTAATGAGACATGTGATGCAGAGATAAGAGATGTGCTAGATCTGAAGTATCTGCAATAAGAAGCAGTGGGAAGCAGAAACATACTTGTATTTCAAGACAATTAAACTCCATGTTTATCCACAGAATTCAGGCAGCAAACACTTAATATAACATTTCAAAAGGAAGCAGTTTAAAATATACTTTTAAAAGACATTTTTAACCTTATCTGTAGACCAGTAACAACAGATGCTTGTCAAATGAGTGTGTCTAAAAGGCAGATAAATTTGTCATTTTCTTTGGTTGTATACTAGACAATGGAAAAGAAAATTTTTGCTTCTTCATGTAATAAGGCTCTCTGTTGGGACAAGCAGTTCCTAAGTACCTTGGAGTGTTCTGCTGGGTGTGCAGTGCATGATGAGCTTTTTAATCAGCTGTGACTTACATGCAATGTGACAAGTTGTGCCATGAGCAGCTGATCTAATGAAACCTAGCATCTCTTGCCCATGTTTATCCCCTTTGTGTTGACTGATAAAAATGATCTTGCAAGTATTTCTCTGTATGAGGAGTTAATAGAGTGTCTCTTCCCTTTTATAGACCTATTTTCCTGAACCTTTTGTGGAAAAAAAATCTTTGAATCTTCTATTCTTTTGCCCAGTTTGCTTAGAATTCTTCTGGAACACAAAACATGTTTCAAGGGAATAGACATTGCACAAGGATATTGCTGCTTCAGTCATATTTCTTTGAGAAAACAGTCTAAATGCAGTATTTGGAATTTTCACTATAAGAAATCCAGTTATCTTCATGTGTCAGAAGGAGTACTTGTATTAGCTCTTTCAGAATATTTAACATTGCAGTATTAAAATGTTTGGCAAAAAATGGTGGGTTAAAATGCTGCAAAGTTGGTAAAAATAGCCAAATTAAGGTTATTGAATCTAAGTTAATATTTCCTTCTCTTTTCTTATAGTTGTAAAGCTCCATGTTACATGTAAAGCCAGGTGTACCATGAGCAAGTTACAGAAAAATGAAATGCTCAATATACTTAAAGTCTGAGTTGTGTTTAAATATTTTAATATGCGAAGACTATGTATCTGAACTAAGTTCCTATTTTCCAAAGTTTTACGAGCAGCCTGGACTCAAAGAGTAGATGTGGATTAGTGAAGGCATCCCTGAAGCTATTCAGACCTCACATGGATAAATCCCTGCACAACTTGATCCATGCTGGTTGTGTTTTGGGCAGAGGTTGGACCAGGTGACCTCCAGAGTGTCCCTCTTGAGCTGAATAAATCTATTATCTGTGGCAAGAAAGAGCTGACCCAAAAAGTGTATGTAATCTGTATGCTTTAAATTACCTGAATTTACTTCTCTATAACGTAATTCAAGCCTTTAATGCTGTGTTATCTTTTGTGAGATCAAATGAATATTTGTCATAATTCTTTAAAATCTCTTCATGGTCTACCTAATAGCTAGGCTGGCTGGCAATTATTTTGTTATCTGTAAAACTAAAAACTGGGAATAGGCCTAAATTTTAGTCATGTTGGATAGAGTTTCACTTTAGATCCTGAGGAAGGATATAATTGTATTATTTTCACAGCATTTAGAAGATTAAGTGGAAAATGTCATGTTGAGTGATGGACAGTGTGATACAAAGCACTTGCGAGAAGAATCCTACGTAGGTTTTTTACTGAATTAGAGAATGAAATTATCATTCATGACAAACAATAGTTTGTCCTATATTTTTTGTATGGGATGGATAGTATACAGTCCCAAATATTGTCTGTCTGTTCAGAATGTGAACACACAGAAGTGTGCAGAAAATAGTTTCCTGATTTGGAAAAGCAGTTTAGTAAAATTCAGTCAGTATAATTTTAAGAAAAGATTACAAGACATGAAGAGTAAGTCTGTAAATACTTGAGAGAAATGGGGTGATGATATAAAAGGAGGAAGTAGCTCTCTGCTGTAACAGCTAGGGAATAGTGTTGTGTCTGTGTCATATTTCACACATATCCAGTGCCGTGGGTCTGTGGAATGAAACTGGAAAACATACAGATTTGAATTGTGAACAACTAGAGGATAGCTACAACAGCCATTAGAAAAACATTTGTAAATCCTAAAGTTTATTAGATGATGGAATAATTAATCAAGGGAAGTTCTCAAGTACAAACATTAGATAAGAATAGCAACAGCAAGTCAAACTTTATAATACAAGATCCTCCAGCAGTACAGCAGGGAAATGTTGTTTCTAGTCCTAGCACATAAGATCTTCTGAATACAAAACAGAAGCAAAATAATAGACAGAAGGAGAGTAAACATGTACTCCATTACTCACATCAGATTCATGAATAAGAAGTTTGGCAACTACCAGTGAACAGATATTGCTTAAACATGAATACTTCTCTACTTCTCCTATACAGTGTAAAACAAACCAAACAAAAAATACCCATAGAAACTGGCAATTTAAAATGCAGTCTACCCCTGAGAGTGTTGAATAATTATGAACCATAGATTGGAATGTCACAAAATATATTGATAGGGGCAGCTGTCATGACCAAACCACTGCATATTTTGTATAAATACGGAAAAATAATCTATATATATACATTTATTTTCTTCAGGTTTTATATATGTTTCTGTTCTTGAGACTAAACCTGAAGTGTTGCAGAATCCAGTACCTAGTTCAATTAGACTGTCATTAAATTATATTTGGATAATCATTTGAATAAACAGCTCTGCACTTCTAATATATAATTAAAATTACATATCTCTTTGTTGTAGTATTCCCCATTTGAACAACAACAAGCGATCCAGGTTAGTCTCAAATTCAAATGTCAGATTTATCAAGTATTTTCTGAGATACAGAATTTCTGGTGTGACAGAGCTCTCACAGGGTCACTCTAAGACTGTGCCTTGGAAAGGGAAGACTTCATTCATGTTTCTCTTTTATTCATATGCACCATATTTCTAGCCTAGTTTTGTCTTGGGTTGAACTAATGGTCTCATGAACTGTTTAACTCAGTTGACAGTGGAATTGTTAATGCAGTGTTTCTCTCTTCCTCCCTGCAGTATGCTGGCTGGCTGGTCCTTTGGGTTACATGGAACGTGTTTGTTATCTGCTTCTATTTGGAGGCTGGGGACCTTTCAAAGGTAATTTACCATTGGATGCATTTAAGCCATCAGCAGTTTGTTAACATGCCCCAGTCGACAGGCTGTGCTCTGTTTTGCTCATCCTTTTAGTGTGACCAGAGTGAGTATAGTAGTATGATGGAAATTTGGAGTATTCTGGGTATGTTAGGAACTTTTAAACTAGACAGTAATGAGCATATACATTCTGATGCCCACAATAATAATAGTATATGTTTTAAAACAAAATTACCTCTTTTTACACCCCTCAGTAGTTCTGCAAAGCAAAATTCACCCCTGTGAGAGACACTAATTAGTGATTTCATGAGTACAACATATTGCCATCACAGAAGTAAACAAATATTCTCTGTACCATTTAGTTTCCTGTACTTATCTGGATTCCTTTCAGGGGCCTTATACCATAGCATAATAATTGTAAAACAAGGTGTCTTTCATTAAATTAAGATGTAAACTGAGGTGCCAGAACAGATTTCCATTTGACTACAGCAATGTGTGCTTCGGGTAGGAATGTTATGATTGAAACTTACACACAGTAAAAATCTGTAGGAAAAGTATATTTTCCTAAGAATGACATATTTATAGGGTTTTAATTACACTGTAAGTGACAGCACATAAAGTGGCAGCTGGTAATGGGCTTAAACCAATGTTTCAAACCAAATCTACTTTTTAAGGTGTTCCCAGAAAGCGGTTAATTTGTGGGATGAAAGATTAGCTGTGCCAACAAATTATTTTGTTAGAGTGATAAGCTCAAACTGCATCTAAGGATTGATGTCCGTGCTGAAATATGCTCACAGTGCTATGAACTGACCATCAAGAAGAATCTCACATATCAAAGAAATCACATTCTCTTCTTGGCTCAGATTTTTAATTGCTGTTCCTGATTATAGCGAGTTTAGCCCAAATGTAAATTACAGATGTAATTCTCTGATCCTTTGTGAGTTACTGGTATCTTATGATGCAGAAAGTTAAATACAATTAAAGGAAGAATAAATGAGGCATATAGTTCTTTACCTGTATTTTCTTTCCAATCACTCCCAAAGTACACAAACTACTGGAGATAAGAACATTTCATCCCCTTGTATTCTGTTTCTTCAAAAGACACTGGCTTCAAAAGGTTCAGAATTTCTTTTCCTTAAGGTATAAAGTAATTTTCTGCAGGTAAAATGTTGCACTTTCTGGGTTGTATACCTTCAGACACACCCAGTCCCATTAAAAGCTTGGCAAAAACATAGTAAATAAAAGAACTTGCATATATTATCTTTTATTAGGTTACAATCTTTTCTGTATTGCTAAGTAAACTAATATATGTAACAAACCCAGCACCTGTTGTACAATTATACTCAACACAATCCACCCTCTTTCCACCTGCTTGTTTCAGCCACCTGCATTCCTAAACTTGTAAATGTTGGGATGCTTATCATGTCTGTGAAGTGGAAGGGGGTGAAAAGGAATGGAGAAAGAAGAAGCAGCTGTTTTAGCACTGTGTCTTAATGGGTACAAAAACAGCTTAAGACACTGCTAAGTGCTAGTTGGAATAAAAATGTGCCACAAACAGTACCTAAACCTGGAACTGATTTTTTTATTCCTGAAGTCTAGGGCTGTGTCATCTAGACTGTTTCCCAACCAACCATATGGTTCAGGCTTGTATTTGAATGCAGTTAAATTTTTTTTGGTCTTCAGAGGTATGATTTGTTCTAGTGATATGGTCTGCCTTGAAATATGCAGTAGAATAGATTCCTTCCACTTCAACTGGCTTTCAGAGCAACAGAATTGGTAAAAAGAGAGAGAAAAGGAAAAGTTCCTAGAAAGTGGATATAAGAAATAGGTAGAGATTCATTCATTATTTGGAAAAGGTCTAATTCACATACAGGACATGATTCTCCTCTCCTTTTCAGCTGTGAATGGTACATCATAACTTCCCCAGAGGAATAATTATTCTGCAAGATCAGGGCCTAGAAATATGTCTCATGGAAAGACACCAAACTATTTGGGTAGATATATATTATTCTCCTGTTCTAGACTCATCAGATGCTCTGACTGTTTTACAGATGTAGGTATCCTACAAAATGGATCATTTTAAGGGTTATGTCTTTCAATCATATTCATGTCTTGCACTGAATCTTCTTCATTATTTATATTTGAATCTAGGAATATCTGCAACTTTAAATATGTAGTGATACTCCGCTGTCTTTTGGTTTTGTTTGGAATGGCATGTAGAACTTGAAAAAAGCACTGGGTCTGAATTGGTTCTAAATAGAGAATAAAAAATAACCTTTAGGCAAGTACCAGAGGGATGCCTCTGAGGTTGTAAAACATGAGAGAGGATTCTGTGCAGCATAGCTTTCAGAATTTATAGGTTAAAATTACAGCCTAATAATAGTTCAGATGGGTATAGTTTATTTTTATATGTATAATTTATAGTTTACTACCAAATAAAATAAAAGCGTGGCACTTTTTTCAAAGTTTTGAGAACAGCTTTTATTCTATGTGTACGTACAACAATTTTTCCATCATCATCTGCTGATACAATGGAAAGGACATATTTCAATTGTTAATATACCTTATTACAAAAGGCTGGCTAGCTTCATCCTTTTTTTAATTTTACTTGTAGGGGGTGGAAGTCATGTCATTTTTACAGCTTCTCCTTATTACACTGAAACAAGCCTGCAAAGACTCCAAAATGTTTAGAACAATAACATAATCGTCTCAGAAGAGACCAAGGAGTCTCAGAGATTATTAGTGAACACCCATGCAAATCTGTTTGCGTTATACACCACACAGTCATAGATACCTTGTGGAAAATGGCTTCACACTAAATGTTTTTGGTCCTTGAGTAGTTATCTTTTCTGAAGCACTTTCATAGCAAGCTGGAATATTTATGGATTTACATGAAAAGTTTGTAATGGAGAGGAAGTGCAATCACTTCTTAACCTTGATTGTTATGTGGATCTGTGAATGAATGCCTAGAAAATCCACTTCTCAGACTTACTTTTCAGTATTAGTCTACAGAAATATTTAATTAGTCTGTGAGTTGTTCTGCTTGCTGATGAGTGCCATATTCAGCATAATAGGACTTTAAAATTTCAGGACTGGTAATATTTATTTTGGCCTGTGGCTAAGCAAATGTAGCACATGAAAATCATAACCTCTTGTCTTGAATGAAGCACATCTGAAGCACTCTAGTGAAGCAAAATAAAGAAAACATTATAGAAAGCATGTCTAAGAAAATGTAATATTTTTGTAATTTGTTTACACCGGGAAAGGACACAAAGAGATAGATTCAGTTATCTCAGAACAACAACAACAAAATGCTCGTGTGATAAAGAAACAACACTCTTGCTTCAAGGCATTTAAAAGCTCCCCCTAATGATGTCTAATGATCCCACAAGCAGAATAGAAGCAGGATAAGAACTATCATATACCCATTTTTAGTTTAAAAAGAGTAAACATGTCTTTTGCTGAAAAAAATTCATGGCTGAGCTTGCACTCTTCCCGTCACAAATGTGGGAGTGAAGAGATGCTCCTGCTCTCAGTCACTGGAAGTCAAGGTAGAGTCTGTGTTTGGGGTGCTGAACAAGGAGGACCAGCTGGGGTTCAGGACCCAAAGCAGCCCTTGCTGCACACGAGCCCAGACTTGAGCCAGTACTTTTGGTTCTCTTTGCATGCAACCCTACTTGTGTGACCAGATACAAGAGCTCTCCTCTCATTGACACCTGTCTGTGCTCCAGAATCACTTTGCTGTAGTCCTTAGAGTACTATGTGAATGTGACCAAGAATACACTTTTTAAAAACTCATTTTAACTGTCAAAATTTACTTAGTTTCTTTTTGTGTGCCATTCTTGAAATCTTCCTTATTTATACCTAATAACATGCAAGGTTACATTTAATAAATTAAATCATAATATTGTACTTGTATGTCTTTTGACACAAAAATTAGGTGTTTGAAAGTCAAACACCCTAGTACCGAGAAAGACCGGAATTAAGATTGCTTGACTAAGCATAATTTAGCTCTCTCTGTACATTCATTTTCATATAGCTTTTAATTATTCTGTCACAAGTGTATTTTTTTATTTTTCATGATCTATTTCATTTCCTTAGTCTCTGTACCCCACGGCCTATTTTAGAGATGAAGGTCTGGGAATTGAGTCAGGCTGCCATACTGAATCTTACTCCATGTATTGCAGCAGGGAGAAAGAAAGCTTAATAAGCAAATATAAAAGTAAATCCTGTACTTCAGTTCTGATATGACAACACGTAGAAAGGTTATGTACAGAACTGTGGCACCTAAGAACTCTAAGCACAGTGGCCATATTATGCATGTAGCTCACCATGTGTTGTCAAAGTGTGGTTCCTCATGGTTTTAGAACTCATTCTACAGATCTGAGTTGCAAGTTACTGTTCTGGGTTTCTTAGAGTTGCTATTTGCATTCAAATTAAGTTACTTCCTTTCTTATTTTGTCCTGAGCTGCAGCAGGGAGAACATGAAAGAATGGGAAAGATTAAAAAATACAGTTAGTTAAAATTTAAATTGTTGAACATGATACAAAGAACTGAATGTACTGTAGCTATTAAAATGTAAACTAAAGGAAAATATATAATCAGGCTGTTTTCTGCCTCAAGTTCTAAGGAAAATCAAATGTTTCTGAACACATTCTCTCCTACCCACCTCAAATAACTGGAAATAAAATTTGACTCACAAAATCACAGAGTAATTCATGTTGGAAGAGACCTCTGCAGGTCGCTTAATCCAATCTTCTGGACAGAGCAAGATCAACTTCAAAATTCTATCAGGTTGCTAAGAGTTTTAGCCAGTCAAGTTTTAAGTCTCCAAGGGTGGAAATTTCACAACTTCTCTATTTCTTAACCATTCTCATTGTGAAAAATTTTCTCCTGATATGCAGCTGAAATTTCCATTGCTGAAATCTGTGACATTGCCTCTTGTCATTTCATTGTGCACCTCTAAGAGTTATACTCCATCTTTTCTAACACTCCCCTTAGGCTTT